TAGACTTGTTGTGGTAGGTGGTAGACTTACTTGTAGTAGTGGTAGATTTACAATATGTGGTAGACTTATTTGTAGATTTATAATATATGGTAGAGTTATTTTATAGTAGTGATAGACTTATTCAAAAAGGGTAAAATCGTAATTTACCGTTCATCTTCTCCACCAACCCAAAAGCTGTCAAACGACAACAATGGCGGCCAACAATTTTTTAGCTTGTTTTTACTGTATTTTAACTTGTTTTCAACTGGATTTAGCCTAAAACTAGTAGATCTAACATCATATATCATTTTTCTAATAAAAAATCAAAAGATTTTGAATTTTTTTTTCACCTTATGATTTTTATTCCGATTTTATCTCAATTCTGGTGCTTCCTCAGCCTCCACACCTCCGCCGCGTGCCCCTCCGGTGTTTCCGCAGCCTCCGCGGCCGCTTCAAACAAATTCTTCGTATTTTTTTTTTAAAGTTAAAATGGCATTTTTGTAATAACAAAATATAACATTGGTTTATATATCTTTTAAACTCTTTCTTAGTATTTTGATATTTTGTCAAGACTATTCTAATAATTAGTCCATGTGTGAAGTCTATTCTAGTAATTAATCCTAAATTATTTGATTGGTATTCCTGCATAATTTTTTCAGTTTAATAATAGAAACGTACACGATACATCACTAAGGGTGGGACGATTCCGGATATCCTGGAATTTCAGAGTATCCGGATTCGGATCCGGAATCGTCGGATCCGTGAAAAAACTATCTGGATCCGGAATCGTGACCTCCGGATATCTGGGCTCTAGGAATCTTTCCAAAAATCAGATATCCGCGGATATCCGAATCCGGATCAGGATCTGAAATTAATATTAAAAATAATTAAAATAATTAATAAATAAATAAAAATATATTTTTAAAAATTATTATTTAATATTTTAAATGGTATTTTTTCATTATAAATATAATTTATTATAAAAAAAACTAATCAATTTTTATATATATTTATTTATATAAAATTAGTTTAATAGATATATAATATATATAATTTTAATATATTCAATGCGTCCGGATCCGGAACCGGATATCCGGACCTTAAAATTTTGCTATCCGGATCCGGATTCTCTTTTCACGGATCCTAAATTTTACTATCTTTATCCGGATCCAGGCTCTTCGAATATCCTAATTTTCGAAGCGATTCCAAACGAATAATGGATCAGATCTCAAATTCCGGATAATAATTCCACCCCTATACACCACTAACTAAACACGTTCTCTAACTTTCCTAATTTTTTTCCCTCGAACACGTAATCATCATTTACTCTTATGACTGACTTTTTTTTCTTTGCCGACCAAATTCAAATTTTTTTATTTTTTGTCACAACCGATCAAATTCATTTATATTGCTCAATAAGTATCACTTTACAAAACTGTCATAATTTCAAAAAAATTCAAAAAATATAATTTTACAAAAATGTCACAATTTTGAAATTTTTACAAAAATGTCATTTTTACAAAATTATTTTTTTTTTATATTATTTATATTTGTGTTAACTATGTTCTATTAGAATTTAGTTACGAGAATTTAGAAGGGTTTAGGGGTAAAAACATTTTTTAATG